GAGTCATGTACTGAGGGTTTGTTAACTCTTCGGGTACTCCGTACCCATGTGTGGAACACACCAGGTGTAAACCTGTGTAACCCCGTTACACCGACGCCCCAGGACTTTGATGCCGCCCGTCGGTGGGCTGCTGATCCGGTTTGCCTCCATGTCGACGACTGGGTTTTCGCTTTCGCGGCTGCTGCGAAACAGCGTTACTGACTCCCTGCTGGGCTGCGAGAATGTGTGTCTCGTACTTCATAAACTCCTCTATTTGAGGGCGTAACCACCGAACGAACTTGGACACATCCTTCTTCAATGGCTTACCAACAGGGCACTCCAGACTGTCTTGGATGGCAGAACGATAGGCCGTTGGACGTAAGGCATTAACCAGGTATCCGACTACACGCTTCGGATCTATCGTGAATGATGCTCTCCATGTTCATCCCGTCCCCGGTACTATAGAAATTGGCCAGCAGACGTGACATGCAGGACTTTGCGTCCTGAAGCTGAACATCAACAGTTAAACCACGCACCGCCACATCAAGCTGCTTGTACGCAGTGAAGTCAGCGTTCCTGGCGTCGAGGAAATACCTTTTCCAATCTTCTTCGGTCACTGTAGCCTCGGGTTTAAACAATTCGAAACGGCAGATACGCACCAAGGTGCTCTGCTCGATACAGGCCCCGATAGGCATAACGAACACTTGTGTCTGCGTGCCCTGGTTCAACGCGTCGACACGTCTCTTGTAGACCATGTAACTATCCATAAAGTCCCGCTTCTCTTGCTTCGAGCTGCCACGGTTCAACGGCGGAACAGGCATATTCGCACGCGTTGTTAACGTCACCATCGGATCATGTTGCGATAGTCCACGGACTTCATGTTCTTCTCCGACATTGCCAGGTCTTTTCAACCCTGCAAAGACCCCTCACCGAGCTTCAACATGTGGTCGGAGTGCTTCAGCTAGACTGTCTAGCCGCTGCCCTTGTTCCCCCATCGCTGCCTCTGCAGCCTTTAGAAGGCGCGCATGTTCCTCGATTTGCAATCTCTGCTCAGTCATCTAACGTCGGATCTGCTCTTGCTGCTCCTGGAGGTCGAGCTTGTCGTACTGGAGCTGCGGATACTCAGAGTTCTTGGAAGCGATCTCGTTCTGCTGCTTCTGCACGTGGCTAATCCTCTCCAGTGGGCTGCGGCCGAGGTTTGCGCCAGTTGATCAATCTGGCGTCTGGCATCGAAGTCGACGACGCTTCTCTGGAGAGACATCGTCCTAGTCGTCTCTTGCGTCACCAGCACGTCTTCTCCGTCTTGGAGTGACATGTCCTCGTAGTCAGGCCGTGGTACAGCACCGTCGCCCGGATCGTAGTCCATAGCTCTTAGGGGCTAAAGAATTCGTTGTTCCCTAATCGACTTGAACACTTGTAGGAAAATTGTGAAGTGAGCAATACAGTAAGATTAAAAGCTAGTAAGTAGAGGGACTCGAAGAACACCCAGGAGAGTTGATCGTCCTAATGTTCTTGTCTGCTTCCGTTCAGCGTACTTCTACCAGAACAATCCGTTATCTGTGCAACGAAACCCGGAGCGGGTAACACTAGTGATGGACCACCTTCAAATCTTCCAAGTGTGATTTGCTAGGTTTTTCGATGCCATAACGACTTACCGTAGTCGTACTTAAATATAAAAGGAGACATGTTGCCTCCTTTAACGTGGATACGTCATCGTTCTTAGTTTAAACCCAGGAAAAAGGAGCATTCTGCTTCCATTTATCGCGATAGAGTTAAACAGGATCAATCAAATCGAGAAAGATATCAAACACGATGAACTACTCTCTACATCAACACAAACATGTTCAATAGACACAACAGGTGAGCGGGCGTTGACGAATAGTTCAAGATTTACATTACCCGGTTAATATTAAGCTATTAATTGTTGCAGTTACATCGGCTCTGCACTGTTCGGCGTTCCAATTGAGCCAATGGAATGGCGACAATTACTCTCAAACATTTCGTAACTCGTGCTACACCTGAACCGTTCCACTATTGGCTAATGATGGGATGGGATGGAACGCTATTGACTACCCACGGGGGCTACCAATATGATTGGTTGAAGGAATGTGGCTATGGTGATTACGCCACACTCACAAGAGGACACAAGGGGAACAACAGAGAGATAGAGTTTAGAAAGAGTTTTATCTTACGCTAATCTACACATTTCGGCATTTGCCTCCAACCTAGCATGCTCCAAATCAACAGTAACGATGGATAGTTGCCCTCGTTTCAAGGTGAGACCGTTTTTAAATTTATTATTAGTATTGTTAGCATTTTGAGACACAACTCGATACTTGACAAACATATAAATTGTTTTTGGACACCGTAGCCAATAGACGCTGTGTGTGGCAAGCACCAAACATTCAATAACGACAGTTTGTTTTTAAGTATTACCATAACATGACTGTGCTGAAATACTTTTTGGGTTTTATCTACTGGTAGGAAGAATCCGTGGTATGTATCATCATAAATGACGTGCTTGCCCATTCTAAGCTGATTTCATGGAACGTCCGGTGTATCCTCAGACATTTCCAGATTGAAGTATTTCGTCAGTCATTATATTTCGGAATTGTGCACCACACCAACGGCCTTAACACGGTCAACTTGTTATACTTGATCAACTGTTGTTCGACGACCTGTATTAGGTCAGACAGGTTAATCTCTAAAGTGCCATTAGTCCGGAATAAGCTTTAGTCTCTCTTTTTTTTAAACCCTAATTTTAGTCTACGCCATCAAAGTCCCATCATGTATGCAAGCTATTAATACCAGGAAATAGTAGTTATGTTAGTTAGTCGACTCCTGGGTCGCAGCCATGAGAAGAAGAGAGGCGGCGTATATGGAGACACCCCCAACCACGGCCCAATACGCCAAACTGATGTAATCCGACATAGCTTCCCACTTGTCGGGGTTATCCCGACCATACGTCTCCACCTTTTTCACCTTCTCCGGCGCGATTTGTTTTGACCTTTATTCGAAACCCCCAAAATCGACTTCAGCTTTTGAATAGCCTGAGACGCTTGTATCTTGTCAAGATTCTTCGTCCGGCCCAGGTTCCCCCGGACCTGCTTCGGGTGCTTACGCAAAAGAGATTTCAATCTGCTGAAGCCTGGTACTCCAACTCTCTCTTCATCCTCG